TGTCTCCTCATCGCTAAGGTGTGCCTGAAAGTGTCTGCCCATTGGGACTGCGTGAGGTTGCTTGCAAAGTGACTGTTAACATTTATGTCGAGCACTATAAATCATAAAGTGCTCCACGTATTTGGCTACTACTATAGTTCTACAATCTATCAAGGGTCAAGGTCCTTGGAAATCAAAGAAGGAAGATGCATGTAGTCAGATTTACCAATTCTTCATTTTCAAATTCCGGGTTACATTGTGTTGCTTCTTCTGTCACTGGTTTCTGAACAATGTTTCTACAGACGAGCCAGATGGTCAGACTAGCAAAGAACATCCCGATATCAGGTACAAACACTCTGATCCCATTGCCAGCATCCGCTCCCTTTAAGCTATGGAGGAAAAAAAAAAGGAGGGAGGAAATTTAGTTGTTCTCATATTCTATGGTTAAACCATCTTATAGTATATTTCAGCCTTCTTTATTTTTTAAAATAAAAGATACTCAGTTTCTGTCTTAGTAGACTTTATAAGACCTCACAGTCTTATGAAATCTACTAAGATTGAGGAAGATTTCAGCATCTCACTAAAGCTGCAGAAGTATTATGAAGAACTCTCACTGCCAAAACATGCTAACGAACTGTACTGTTGTTAAATAAACCACATGTCCAGTACAAATGCAGTTGTTTGCAATCTAGCTGAAGCGGTTAAAAACTAGACATATTCTAGCAGCTGAAAGATATTTTGCTTCTGACACAAATCTGAAGGAACAATGGAGAAAATGTTAAAGCGATCCTTGAATCTAGGACCTCCTCATTATTTTATATACTTGGTTGATTTTGTCTTCCACACTGTTCCACGAAAGGTGGATCTAGTAGGTTTCTTCTTTTATCTTAGAGGAGTCACACTAGACTTAGAATGAGACTCGGATTCAAGTCTGAGGCTAACCCTTAGTAGCTGCGTTCCACTGGAGGGCTCCTCACAGCCACTTCTCCTTCCTGTATGCCAAACCATAACACTATGTGCCTTCCTATCCCATTTCAGTGAAATTAGATAATAGGTCGTGATTTTAGGAAAAAAAGATGAATACATATGTATGAAATAACACACATGAAAGTTCTTTGTAAAGTATGAAACACATATTTCCACTCCTACATTTCGAGAACAGCATCATCCATTGACCTTTAGATGATTTTCATATTTATACAGCATTTGTCATTGTAACTGAGGTCTTGAAACAAATACGGTACAGCAGGCAGCAATAGTCAAAGAATGAAGTAGAGAGGAAAGGGCATCAGCTGAAAGAAGAGGAGGGACCTGCCTGGAAAGGTCACATGGACACTGTCTGTGATGCTGGGTAGTGTCCAGGGGCAATGAAGGTGGGAATGATAGGCAGTATGTGGAGTCACCAGCGTGTCACGTCAACTGAAATGTCCTCCGGCTGAGCCCACTCTGCTGTGAGCAAGCGACCACAGAGCTTAATAACCATTTCTCACACCATTCAGCATGTGACACAGTCTAGTCACATCCCTCACAGCAGTGCCAGATGATTGCCCAGGGTGCCACCACCATTGGAGTTGTTGTGCCCATGTGGTACTACAACCACAGTGTTAATTACTATTATTCAAAGCCACCTGAGGAGTGATTCCTGGCATGTTCTCTGCTCTCCCATATCATAAGGAATAAACTCTGACAAGAAAAAGCTAATGAAATGACTAGGTGATGTGAAGGAAAAGTTATACAGACTTAGGTTTACGAAATGAGTTTAGAGTAGGGAAGATACAGACAGGGGAGTCCAGGGTCTGTGCTCATACTGAAGCTTATGGAGAAGATGAGATCACCGTCTTCTCCAGAAAAATTAAGAGTGGAATGTGAAAAGAGGGGTAAGTCTTTGAAGAAATGTTTATTACAGATAAAACTTGTTTAGGGACAGGAAGCAAAAGATAGGGATATATACCACGTAAAAATATGCACACATATATATTCATGTACACTTTATGTGATTACACTCTGTATTTATTTACATTATATATATTATATATTTTGGTAAAAACATTTAAAAAATAATAAATAGCAAGACCCCCATCACCTGAAAATAAACACTGCTAACATAAAAATTATTAATAATATCTACCACTTACACAACACTTACTTTGTGCAAAGAGCTTTGCACATATTACTTAATCCTACCAACCGTCATACAGAGTTAGGCATTATTATCCTTCTTTCACATATGAAAAAACTAAGACTTCAAAAGGCAAACTGACTTCCCAAAAGTCACACACAGAGAGAATAAAATTATACTTCAGTCCTTTCAAGTATAAATTTATGCTCCCAACCACCACATTCTCATGTATGTAACCACATGGACTTCCCTTCCAATCTTTGTTCTATGCTGAGAGGTGCACATTTATAGTTAACACAACTAATCTCTTATTGTTTTGAAAGTGATTTGTTCATTTGATACATCATTAACATTTCCACAGCTCGTGGCTGGTTTCCATACATCATCATGCTCATGGCCAGATAGTACTTATTTAACTAGTTTCTACTATCGCACATAGAATGTTTCCATTTATTTGTTACTATAATACACACAAAAGTTAAAACTTAATTAAATAAAGAGCCTTCTAATCTAGGATCTTCTAGGAATCAATCTTCAGACAAGTCTAATTTGCTTTTAAAAACATGACCTGGCATGAAAATGAGGCTGGACATGTGGAGAGGACTGAAGTCATGAAGGGTAACTGATGCCATTTAAAAGAGCCTGGATTTTGTCAAAAAACATGGCCTGGAAGGGCAACTGCCCTGTGAAAACTTCATTTTTAGAAATGGCTCTAAACTCTTACCCCATGGATAAAACAAACACAATGGTGTCAGAGGTTTTTCAAAAATGGCAAATTCATTTCATGTGGGGTAAGAGTAAGAAAATTCAATTAAGAGAGCTTCATCCAAACTTCATTTATAATAATGAAATCCAATGATTGATTTTATCATAGAAAAATACATATATATTGTATATATTTAAAGTATGTTTAACATGACCAAACGGAGTAAACTAGAATTAATACCATGAGAATGAGAAGGAATTGGGGATAAATGAAACAGAGCAGAGAACGAAGGCCAGGCTTGGGTAGTGGTTCCTGCATGGGGATGAGGTTAGGAGAGTAGGCTGGTGCCACACAGATGGATTTTTGGCAACAGACCACTATAGCTCTTTCATGGAGAACAAGTAGACTGTGGCATTTTAGGAAAAGCACCAACCAAGCAGAGTTGAGGGGAGTGTTAAAGGAAAGGTAGCAAGAGCTCCAGCTGTGGCCTCAGTGGCTTCTTACACCACAACGGAGAGACTCAGAAAGCCAGAACCTTCTGCCCTTCCCACCTGTGGATTACTTTAAGCTCCCAATTTGCACACAGGCCCTCTGGGGCAATAGGCTCAGCTTTGTGCTTCTTGGTCCCACAAGAGACATTTCATACCACGTGTATATTAAGTAAATAAATGCACGTAGTTTGCAACACTTGTGCTCTACCTGCTGTACCCACTGTGATAGAATTCAGCAGCTATTAGATCCAGAATTGGGCTGCAAGCCCTATTTTGAATGGAATCATTCATGGGGCTGGCCCGGTGGCGCACTGCTACAGTGCGCCGCTTGGGAAGCGTGGCGGCGCTCCCACCGAGGGTTTGGATCCCACATACAGACCGGCTGCTCACTGGCTGAGCGAGGGGCGGGTGCAACACCGAGGGTTGCGATCCCGTAGCCGGTCCCGGTCCGGTACGGGCGCGACACTGAGGGTTGCGATCCGTTGCCGGTCACGAAAAAAGACAAAAA